CCATCGCCAAGGGCGCGAGTTACTTCCCAGCGTCTATGGGACTGCTTCTCGATCCCGCGTATCCGACGCGCGAACTACGGCGCCTCGACCGTCATGCTGGCGCAGCAGATGTGCGGTATCAACATCATCTCCTTCTACAGCTCGACCATCTTCGTCAACGCTGGGTACACGCCGACGCAAGCTCTCTACGCGTCTCTCGGCTACGGCGCACTCCAGGTCGTCTTCACCATCCCCACGCTCTTCCTCATTGACACCAAGGGCCGCCGCACACTGTGCCTCATCACCTTCCCCATCATGTGCATCATGCTGCTCGCTGCCGGTCTCTCGCTGCTCGTCCCCGCGGACGCGTCCACCGGCGCCCGCCTCGGCCCCGTCGTGCTGTTCGTCTATCTCTTTACCATCGCGTACTCGCTGGGCGAAGGCCCCGTCGCGTTCCAGTACTCCGCAGAGGTGTTCCCGACCATCCAGCGTGAGCAGGGCATGGCCTGGGCCGTGTGCATCAACAACACGTTCGCGGGTATCCTCGGTCTGACGTTCCCCCGCATGACGACCGTCATGACGCCCACGGGCGCTTTCGGCTTCTACGCCGGCCTGAACTTGATCGCGTGGGGCATGATCTTCTGCTTCGTGCGCGAGACCAAGCAGCTCACGCTCGAGGAGTTGGATCGTAAGTTCCTCCCAGTTTCCCAAAAACTTTTTTCTTGTAAAGACACACATGCTAACGAGTAAACAGAGGTCTTCAACGTGCCCACCTCCGTGTTCCTCAAGTACGAGATCAAGCGCAATATCCTGCGCCAGCGCGTTCCCAAGCCCGAGTTGCTGGATAACGCGACCCACCGTGTCGAGCAGGTGCCTGCTGCTTAGATGGGTGGTTTGGACTTGATGGCGAATAGAGGACGTGCACAATGATGAAAGATACCCGTTGGATTGGATTACATTGGATGGATTGTTACGCTGGATGCGTGGCATGGCCAGAGTAGTGCAGATGTGATATATGAGGAATTACAAGGTTCCGGTAATACAACATGGTTTGATACACCATCCATGGCTTGATCGCACTTTGTATTCGTTTCAAGATTTGAATTTTGTTGTAAATTGTGTTGGTCACAAAGATCCCCGGATCTACGCAAAGCCATAATCATGCAAAGAAATGGACATTCAAACATGTGTGACATGCCCCTTGTCTTGGAACTTCCGTCTCCCAAAAGGTCTGTATAGAAATCTACTCTACTTTACTCCACCCCCACCACCACCCTCTTCTCCTCCCACCTACGCCTTCTTGCCCCCCTTCTTCCCCTTCTTCTCAAACCGCTTGACCGCCGCCTCCGCGCCAATCCCGCCAAACACCAGCCCCACGCCCACCCACTGCATGCCCGTAACCTGATGACCAAAAAGCACCACACTGGCCAACATACTCAGCATCTTCCGCGTCACCGTAACCGTCACAAGCAAGAGACTGCTGAAATGCGCGAGCGTGTGGAAAATGAAAACCTGCCCGACGGCCCCGCACGCGCTAAAGGCCAGCACGTCCCAGCCGACGCTCGGGTAGGTGGTTACGAAGGTGAGTGCATCGGAGAGTTCGCCATTGGAGGTGGGCGAGAGGCCGATGTAGGATCCGAACGATGTACCAGCGATATACGGCGAGACGAGCAGATAAACGCCCGTAAGCAACGTGCTCATGATATTCTGCGCACACATCATCTGCGGGCCCGTAAACCCCTTCCACTCGCCGAAAATCCAATCCTGCACGGTATTCGTAAGGCCGTCGAAGAGCAAATTCACGCCCAGCAGGAACAACCCCAGGGACTTGGATGCGTCGGCGTTGAGCCCTTTTTTCGCGGCTTTCTTTGCCGTCGACGGGTTGTGCAGGGTGAATACGGCCACGCCGAGGGTGACGCACGAAATGACGAGGTATTTGTACAAGGGGTAGCGCTTGCGGAAGAGCGAGATGTGCAGGAACATGACGGGAAGCAACTTGCAGGATTTCGCGAGGATGAAGGTTACGTAGTCGATGTGCTTGAGCGAGGCGTATCCGAAGGGCGAGGCGAGCGAGGATGTCACCGCAATCAAGAGCAGCGGGGCAAGGATCTGTCTGGACGGGAATATCGCGGGGATGCGTCTACTGCCGGTCTTGGGGTCGCGCGGCGCGGAGGAGACGAGGTAGAAGAGCCCAGTTATAGCTGCGAATGCGGACTGTACGGTGTTGAGGAATATGGCGTATTTGAAGCGCGCGTTGGTGGGGCCGTGGGTGGTGGTGGTTAGGCGTTCTTGGAGGTATGCCCAGCTGAGACTGCCTATCATTAGTCTCTCTATTGCGATGTGAGTGTGGTGTGGTTTGTAGGACTTACAAGCTGGCATAGATTCCACCGACGCAAATCACCAACTGCCCCAGCCCGGCTTCCTTTGACTCCTGAGGGTTGCGCGCTTCTAGCTGGACCTGCTCTTCGATCTTCTTCTCCAGCGAGTGTACAGCGCCGTCTAGCTGGCCATTCGCCTTTTGCGCGGCTGCGTTCTTGCGCGCCATGTCGTGTGAAGCTAAGTAAAGCGCGTTTGGAAAGAGTGTCTGCGCGGCGGGCAAAAAGACGGATGGAACTTCCTCCAAACCCAAGGTGAAGGAAACGCAAAAGAGTGAAGTCGGATCAGAGTTTGAAAGAGTGCCACCTGTCCCAATCCCAGACTATCACAGATGACATCGATTCCGTCAACCGTGGCATCAAGTCACGGAGCTAAGACGGGGAAAGATTCGCCAAGCCTTACAGGGGTAGGTCGCATCCCGCTTTCAGCCTCAAGGGTCCGCCGCTCGCTTATGGAACGTGGGGTTGTTCGTCCACATGTTTGTCAAACATGCGGGACACGTTGTGCAGGAATCATGGCGACACGTGCGTTGATTCTAGGCGATTTCGGTGGTTCTGGGATCCCTGGAGAATGAGTATGTGATAAGTCGGACGGGAAGGCAGAGGGCTGTCAGTTGCATGTGATTCATCACGTTGCGGGGATTGCGATTCTTCGCGAGAGGGCTTGGGAAAATGATGTAGCTGTAATAGAACGCTGGCTAAATGTTTCGCTGCGTATGATATAGTAATGCTCCTCTTCTTCTAAGAATCTTCGCATACTTCCACTTCTGCTTCCGCTTCCGCTTCCATGCTAAATGCCAAATGCGTGTATCGTAGAATTCCCAATGCCCACGCAGAAAATGCTCGCTCCAAAATGCCTCAACCAACCAAATCCAAAAAACGCCAACCCAATGCCCTCATCATCACGCTCTCAAATTCTCTCTCTCTCTCTCACAACACTCACGCCTCCCCCCTCCTAATCCTCTCCACCGCTCCCCTCACAAGCACCCAATACGCCCCCTGCCCCCCCGTCCCTCCCGCCCATCCCCTCTCCCAAACCCA